CAACTGAATATGATGAACACTGAACAAGCTTTATTAATTATTGCTGGCAATATTCCAATATGAATTGGGAGCAAACTGTGACACCAAATCTAGTCGTTGTATTGTTATATTACTTCTAATATTGTTTTCAAATGTCTTGAAACAGATTCAAATATAAGGATATGGATTGTAAAATATTAAGATTATATAGTGTCCAACACATTAATTTGTAAATGGTAAATTTATTTTAAAGAATTGGCAATATTATATTATAAAATAAAATAAATTAAATAGAAATATTATGTGTTTTTTGTATGTGGAAAGTTGGCTGGCCCACTCAAAAACATAAAGAAGTGAGGTCTGCAATTCTTTTTTTTTATTTTTTTATTTGTGTAAACAATAAAACACTAACAGTGCAAGGCTAGTTCACCAACATGTCTATTCTCTTGCTTGAGTGTGAAAGTACATGGTTTAGTGATTACCTCTTATGTTTTTAAATTTTAGAATTTCTTATTTGGGAAGGTTCTTCTATAAAAATAGAACAGATGTAATGAATTAATTTTAATAATTTGATTTAATTTCAGAATTAGAGCTGAATCACTACCTGAAAAATCATATTTTAAAAGATTTCAACTGTGGCTAGACTGACCCCCCCCCCTCAATGGGTACAAGTTATAAGTCATGCCCCAGAATGTTTTCAGGTGAGTGAACTGTATACCTTCATTAATTAAAGCATAACTTTATATTCACTGCTTGTAATATTAGATCTGTTTAATTTTTTTAAAAGATTACTCTCATTAGTAAATAGCCCTCACTCAACAATATTTAGAATGAGTGGTTGGTCAAAAGTTTGATACCCAAACAACTCCTTTCCCACCACCATCCACAACATTCACACCCCTTACACAAATTCCTCTACCCAACCTACTCACCATGAGAATAAAATACATCTAAAACCATAGTCATTGTATTTTAACTCTCTAATGACCCCCAATCTCTACTACCCTCGCACTCCAACCCTAACCCTAACCCTCCCCTCCCCCTAATCTGACTTCCCCTCTCAACACTTTACATAACTGCCACATCCCCGCCCTCACACCATCATTTTAACATGTACAATATATACGTCACGGCCCGAAAAAAAGAAGATCTAACCTAACCCTAACCCTACTCTAAAACGTAACAGTTTTAATTCGTTCTGTGATGAGAGCATACCATTATTTAAAACATAATGCCATTTTCAAATCTATGTATTTGACAAGAACATACCTAGATCTAACATTTAAAAATGAATACAAACCAAAAAATTTGAGCGTGTGTGTCGACAACCAAAATCACGGTATGAAGATATTCTAGTGTTACGTTTTTGCAGTTGCCAAGATAAGTAAACTATTTACATAAATGAATATATTCGACGTTTTGTCAATAAAGAATCAGGACATATCACGTCGAGGTCACAATATTGTTTATTTGTAGTGGTTATAGGCATACTGGGCATTGAATGAACCCTTAACTTGTTAAGAATTAACTCTCTAGATTGGCACAATCTCAGTATGAGTGCGACGTTTAAATAACACAACCGGGTGCATTTAGAATAGACTGAAGCCAATCCGAAGCCAATATGAAGCCCACATAAGAGTTAAATGAAATGTGAGCAGGCATTAGAAATAGGTGGCCATTGAATATTGGTTCTTTGGAATTGTTGGAATGTCTACCGTGTGACGGCTTAGCAAATACAATTCACACATACACAAACAAACTAACTTAACCATATCGTTTATTGTAACTAAGTAACGCAAAATATCTCATTTAATTAAACTCAATACAGAATAATTGTGGTCAAAGAACGACCAAGAGCAGTATAAAAACCCATCTAGCCTATGCATGCGCCTGGCGAGTAAATACTGTTGAGGTGCTAGATCCCTATTTCTATTTGATATAAAGTCCAACATTTGAATGTATGCAGACTGATCAACCACAACAATCCATATCGGTAGAAGTTTCCGCGTCGCCAGGAACGGCTTATATACTACTTATATACTCCAGCATCACACCAAACACCACCACCGAAATGACAATAACTCCCCAATTGAAACAAGCACGATCATTGCCAATTTAATGCTTCTTTGGCGGCAAAGCGTTTCTGTGACGTAGTTGGGGTTATAAGACGCAATTCAAAACGTCGATATAGTTTTTACATTTGGTCGTTAGTATATTTGAGAAAATACCGTTATTATAGTTTTCTACCAAAACAGAGTTGTCTATTTAGATAAATTGCTTATACCCAACTGAAGTATTTCTAATTAGCAATAACACAAACTATGAAACAGAATATCGATGAATGGTTATAGCTACATCTAAGCATGAACATCAATATAAATCTGCGAATTTGCAATAAGATTGTTATGTTTTTGTTGATTTCAGATTGAATCAATAAAATGATTATGTAGACTATTATATATATTTCACATAAATATTTAATATAAGCCCGCCAGATTTCCAACTATATGTTCTTTTGCTAAAATAAACAAATGTCTTGTTCTAAAATCTACAATTTGAAAAAAAAACGTTTGTGCAAATCACTAAAATCTAATATGCTGATTTCAACATCCTCAAACCATTCGCATAGGATTGTTTACACCCGATTGGTGGATTCTTGTACGTCATAGTCAGTTGAAAACACTCATCGTCGTAATTATATCGCAGATCCTGCCCTACACAGGACTCCAGGAATCGACGTAGTGGTAGAATGTGACTGCAAGATACCACAAGAACATTAAGATATGAATATGTGATTTTTAATATGGATTTAAATGATGAACTCAAATTACGTAGTAGCAAATTATGTTTTCCCCTTTATCTGTCTCAATTAATTTGTAAATTGCGACTTTATTGTGTAACTATATGTCTTTTCAGTCAAATTTCAATTATAATTTACGCTATGACCGGATTAGACCAGTTCAAAGTTATTTCCCATGCACCTTTTATTCACATTTCAAGTGAAGTATTGACATGAATGCTCGTGGTAAATACACAAATTATAATCACATAATATTATAATCAAGTTTTAGCAAACATTCCAAACAAATTGTGCATCGTTGTTGCTACTTTGTAAAAACAGCCACTGTAGGATATGTTTATATATATATTCACGTATTGATAATGTATTATTTGGAACGATTTATTGTATCTCACACACAGATGAGATACGACTTTGTCATTTTAGGTTCTTGTCAAATTGAAAAGTATATATCGTCGTTTCCGTGCTTTTATTATTATACGTTGATGCCAAAATAAAACAAAATAGGGTAAGTTGAAAAAAAAATCAGGAAACAAGCGTCCGAAATGTCACAAAAAATATCACAATGTGCATTTCTATACTGGCTACCTTAATAAAATTATTTCATCATCACATTTAAAAATAAAAATAGGGGAATATTTAATAAAAAAACAACATATACTATCATTGAAATAAATCGTTCTCGACTGATGCGCCATATTAATTATTCAAATATGATGAACATTTGCATAATCAAAAAACAATCGATTAAAGTTTTTATTTAACAAAAGCTTATTAATACATCAACTACGAAGCAAGACCATTCTTGGTTAATTGTGAAATATAGAATTGGATCGAAATGTATATTATGATTCACGATTCACGATATAATGAGAATTGGGTATCAATTTTATGCTGCTGGAAATTCACAAAAATGTGTTCAGTCATATATGAGCAACTATTACGATATATCAGTATTTGTAACTTACCTGTTAGGTGAAGTCCATGACGTCATAAAATCTGACGTCATATGGTGCATTTTGGAGGGTCGAGGCAGTCCGCTGTATAAATTTTCATTATTCATATCTTCATCTGTCAACAAAATATACAAATAGTTATTGTAAAAATAATCTGACAGATCACTTGTTAAGGTAGCGAGAAGGTTTTGTGACGTTTTTAAATAAAATATTCTCTGTCTGTTGTATCGTTCAGAACAGTAATTTAGGTTATATATATCAAAAGACTAAGTATAGAGGTGCAAGTTCGCACAAACTGGACAGACATTGTTTACATAATTATCACGTGACATAAAAAATGGCGAACCTTGTAAAAATGACTAAGTACGCGATTGCGAGAGCACACTGCGGAATTTCCTGGTGAAATTTAAGTTATGCATTGTCCGTAATCAAGTCCATTGAAATGCGTCTCCGATAATCAAAAGACTTATTATTCCGATTTCCGTGCAGGTTTGTTTTTTTGTCCCCAAATTATTTCATACTTGGCACCTTTAACAGACTATTATTCTGTGACAAAGCATTTTCTTTAAAAACCCAGACATATTTCGCACCATCATTATCTTTTGACGATACTGCGAGTTTGATGTCCTA